ATGGGTAGGTAGAGAATTCATGAACAGGAATCAAACTGCATGGGAAATACTTCCCAGAATCAATAACTGGGATCACATCTTATTAAAAAGTTTCTGCATGTCAAAAGAAATCTCCAGCAGAGAGAAAAAGAAAACCCACAAACTGGGAAAAAATCTTATACAACTGTCCCTCAGACAAAAGACTTTTGTCTAAAACATATAAAGAATTTTTAAAAATCAGGTCCCTGAAATTCAAAGAACCAGTCAAAAAAATGGGCAGCTGAGATGAATACACACTTCTCAGATGAAAAAAATAAATGGCAAATGAAAAAATGTTCACCATCATTAGTCTTTAGAGAAATGCAAATTAAAACAACACTGAGATTTCATCTCACTCCTGAAAAGAATGGCCAGGACCTAGAAAACTACTAACAACAAATGCTGGAGAGGCTTTAGGGTAAAAGAAACTCTTTTGCACTGTTGGTGGGAATGTAGTCTGGTACAACCACTGTGGAGGTCAGTCTGTAGGTTCCTCAAAAAGCTGGGATTGGAAGTCCCCTTTGACCCAGCTATTCCACTTCTAGGCATTTTTTTTTATTTTGAAAGTAGTAAAATACAACAGAACAAGACAGAATAAAGCCAACTGAGAGTTTATTCTGTGTAGTGAAATTGGTACAGAACTTCACAGCAGGTTACTAGGATAACAGTAATAGGTATCACAGTATATTTTGTTATTTTACAATAGTTCTTTCAATCATGTTCTTTCATATGTTCTTTCAATCAAAATAAAATGAAATACAGAACATTATAGAACTTATCAAAACAATATTGAATAGAGCAGTACCATTAATCAAAACAGAGCAAAACAGTAATAAAAATATTTGTCTTCAAAGAGATGGTAGAAGGGAATCCCCCTTATTTACTCTGGTCAACCTCCCAAGAGATACTCAGATTTCTGGTTCCCATTTGCTAACAGGGGAACAGGGGAGGGGTAGGGGAGTGAGGTGTTTGATTCTATGCCGTGCACCAGTAGGGTCACTACTGCTTAGCAGGGAGGCAGGCTGGTTGCTTGGTTTCCCACTGTCCTAAGTTCCAACATGGCGTGGATCTTGGAGACACTGGTGGTTCTCCCCTGGAAGGGCTGCAGTCTGCCACACCACAGCCGTTTACTCAGGAGGTGAGCTGCTTGCTTGGTTTCAGCAGCACAATTTGTAATAGCCAGATCTTGTCAACCTAAGTGTCCATCAACTGAGGAATGGATAAAAAGTTGTGGTATTTTTATACAATGGAGTGCTGCTCAGCTATAAAGAATGATCACATTGAGATATTTATAAATAAACGGGCACAGCTTGAGACCATACTCAGAAGTGAAATAAATCAAACTCACATGTATAAATACCGAATAGTTTCCCTGGTATAAGAAATGATAACAATACATAAAAGTATGTGGTAATCATGATTCCCCAATATATTGCTTTGAAGCCTTTAATGTTTTCATTCATTAACTGGAATGGTTTTATTCCGGGTTGTTTGATTGTATTGTCTGTGACAGTATGAACAGCTATTTTAAAGAAAACAAGACATCATAATAGCTAGTGCTGATTTAATATCTTATTTTGAAGTCCCATCAGGTCTTTGTTCTTCTGTCTCCATTGTTTTTTTGTTTTGTTTTGTTTTTTGTTTTTTGTTTTTTTGTCTTTTTTCTTTTTACCGGTACTGGGGATCGAACTCACGACTGCCTGCTTGCAAGGCAGGCACTTATGCCACTGAGCTAAATCCCCAGCCCCTCCATTTTATCATGTGGTATCTTATTGGATTTTATTATATGTGATAGTATAAACAAATTTTTATAGACAAGGAGATAATATAGAAACCATTGTTCGTTTTCTGCCCTGTAATACCTCTTGAATGGTTTTACACTGTCTTGATATGTTTGATGCTATAGTATTCAAAGTTATACTCAAATATTTCAAGGAAAGAGACACTATGGTAGCTACTGTTATGTCGGGTTATTTTGTGGTGAAACACTATGTTGCTTAAATTGTTCTGTTCTGACCTGTGTTGTTACGTCTCTTTTATCTCAATCTCCTTTTTTTATTTTATTTTTTAATATATAAAAAAAAATGGTTCCATTTTATGTTGTAAGATGTTTGATATTTAGATAAGATAATAATGCTTCTATTTACATTGTACTGTTATCAATCGTTTCTTTTGGATGTTCAACAATTGAGGTTTGGAGACCAATAGTTAGAGACAGATGGGCTAAAAGGACAGCCAGTATTTTGGCCCTAGCCCTCCAATGTCAGTGAGGATCCAGGACATAAGAGAACCTCTGCTGCATTATCCTATACTTGGTGAGTCCCTGGTTTTCTGATCAAGAAGACTGAGACACTGAGAAAAGTGATCATTGGTGTATGGTGTGCCCAAAGAGAGTCACCAGGAGCAAAAATCTCCCAAGCTTTCACAAAAAACAGCTTGGTCAAACAATGGGCATAACTCATCCAAATGGCTGACACTGACCAAAGAACCTTAGTGCTGTAGCTGGTTCCGAGGTGTTCCTGAGGAGACATAACTGACCTTGATAGATAACAAACCCTGATTGTGTTTAAAACAGGTCTCACCTTAACTTGGTCTTGAACATCCTGCAGAAAATGTACAACTACCAGAGGTATATAAAACAATGCTAAAGTAATATGTTATAAAAGAAACTCAAATCACTAATACCTTTTGGCAATTTCCAGCTACACTAGTAGCTGACTACTGTCACAGATTAATGGGCTGCACAGGGTTTCAATTGCGGAATGCAGGGACTTAAAATCTTTGGACTGCACTTAAAATAAAAACATCTACAGAGCTCTCCAACACAGCTCCTCCAACTTCAACTGACCACCCATCCTGTGCAACAACGAAACAAAAAAGAGGGATATGTAGGGAGTCGAAGGTGGAGATTGATCGCGTGTGTGGGGCTAAAGCAAGGCCAGCCCAGAAAAAACAGAAAGACCAAAACAAGCTATGTAACCAAGTTGTTCCAGCATCAAAAAGGCAAGGGGCCCAGGCTGCCAGGCAATGGGTTGCTAGGCAGAGGAGCTGAAATTCACATCATCTTTCCTCGTATATAAATAAAGGTGTTACAGTGGTCGAGCAGTTCCTTTCCACCCATCCGGGGATAAGGGCTCCACCTGAGCCCAGCTTCGTCTTTATTTTTCTCATTCTCTCATGGTCCTTAACCCCAAGAACCTCAGGAGCCACACTGGGTAGCGGCATCAGTAGCCAGGTTGTGCTTGAGTGTATTTTTATTGCTAACTTAACTATTTTAAACAGGCCATACATGTGATGCCCAGCTTTCCCCCATATGACAACACTGTGATTGTAAGAGGTCATAACCATCACCATTGTCCAGAACCAAAGGAATGACCCCTAAATCAAAAGATAACAACTCCTCATTCTTAATATATTGGAAAAGTAGGTTCTTGTGATAGAAATAAAGACCAAGAACCACCAATATCTAGAAGACATTCAGAGGAACAGAGATCTCCTAGGACAGCCTCAACACTGGTGATAAAGCTATCTAACATAAATCTACAAGCATCAACACAGAAAACAAAATAAAACAGAAAATGATAAGATGAAGAAGCAAAATGCAATTCTAAACACCAAGCCCATCCAGGATAGGTCCAGAGCACAAAGAGAGGAACTTGGAAGCCAGCAGATGGAACTCTCTGAAATGATAGCAAAAGTGAAAAAACAAATGAAAGAAGTCATAAAAAACTATCTAAGGTGCAAAAAAAGAAATGACAGTTAAAATGAAAGATGTTAAAGCAAACACAGGTAAACAAATAGAGGCGGCTCAGGTAAATAATAGAAACCACGAATGCCAAACATAGTCAAGAAGTAGAATCAGGGAAACATCCAAACAAATCCAGGAGACTAAAAACTCCATTGAAAGTATACATAGCAGACTGAAAGAAGGTGAGGATTGAATGATAGATCTAAAAGACAGGAATGTGATTAGAGCCCAGAAAAAGAAACATAAAGAAGAACAATGTAATAGTGATTAGAATGTGTGAGAAAGTTGGAGACAGAACAAAAGTCACTGAAAACCTCTTCACAGAAATAAAGGCAAAAGATTTCCCAAATATAGATAAAGAATTTGACATACAAATAAATGAAGCAACCAGGGATTTAGCTCAGTGGCGTAAGCACCTACCTGGCAAGTGTGTGGTTGTAAGTTTGATCCCTAGTATCAAAGAAAACTTTAAAAACAAAAAAATGAAGTATATAGAACTCCAAACAGCCATAACAAAAACAAATCTACACCCAGGCATATAATAATCAAGATTCCAGAAATTCAGCACAAGAACAAAATACTAAAAGCAGAGAAAAGAAAAAAAATCACCTATAGAGGAAAGCTCATCAAAATCACAGCAGATTACTCAACACAACCATCAAATCAAGGAGAGTCTGGAGTGAGATATTTCAAGCCCTAAAAGAAAATCTTCAACACAGATTGATGTAAACCACAATGCTATCTTTTAAAATTGATGAGTAAGATATTTTCATGACCAAAAAGCTGAAAGCTTTCCCCTAAAATCAGAAACAAGGCAAAAATGGCCACTATCATCACTGTAACTCCGTATAGCTTTGGAAATATTAGCCAGAGCAATTAGATAAGAAAGAAAAATAAAAAGAATAAGGATAGGAAAGAAAGAAGTTAAATTATCATTATTTGTGGACTGTGCATAGAAGCCCCCAAAAACTCCACTATAAAACTTCTAGATTTAATAACCGGATTCAGGTATATAGCTGGATACAAAACCAGCATTCAAAAATCAGTGATACGGTCTGGGGGTTTAGCTCAGCAGCATAAGCTCCTGCCTTGCAAGCAGGCAGTCGTAAGTTCAATCCCTGGTACCGATAAAAATGAAAAAGACACACACACACACAAAAAAAAGATATAACAGGTACAGGTACAAACTTCCTATGATGAATATCATGTATATCTAAAATGCACCTATAAAATTCCAAAAAAAGGCTTTAGGTTTGAGTAAATTTTGAGTGACCTGAAGAGCAAAAAGGTATTATTCTTGAATAACTATTACAAAATATTTTTGCATTTATAATCACAATAAATAGAAAAAAACAATGAGGTTCATCCATAATACAAGACATTTGAAATGATTCTAATAACATTCTTCCTCCACTAGATTGTAGAGCTGTCCAGGGCCAGGAGCTTGTTTTGGCAACTTCAGCCCACTCTGGTTCTTCTTCAGGTCCACTGATCAGCATGTGACAATCTCCAAACAGACCTCCCCTGTGTCCCGACCACAAGTTCAAGTCCACCAGCCCTTCCGGCAGTGAGCTGAGCCAGGTAGCCCACTAAACCCAAGATGGTGTGCTCCTGGAAAGCACCTGGTACGCAGCTGGGAATGAAAGAGGCTTTCAGTACCCAGACCTCAGTCTCTGGCACCAGGGATGGGGTCACAGGTGAGCCCAGTTCCTCTTGCTTTTTGTTTTAGCCATGTGCATTCTGAGTATGAGTAAAGGGTATCCGGCTCCCCAGCTCAGGTATGCTGGTGCTGCTAGTGGCACAACTCAAGCCAATCATGGAAAGGTCAGGGCAGTAGTGGGCAGGCCAGGGCTGGGTCCAGCACAGCCTTGTCTGCAGGGCTTCTCCAGAGGGCCAGAACAGGCCTTAGCCTGAAGAGGACAAGCTCTGCTCCCTGGCAGCGGTGAGCACATTCAGAAGTTTAGTCCATGGCCTTTCTTCTCCAAAATGGAGGGAGTGTGTCTTCATCATGCTGGAGTCCTCAGAGTCCAGCATAATCACAGGTACATGTCCAGTAAATGAGAGTCACAGCTCGTCTCCATGAGTCCTTCAGGGCTGACTCAGATACCTCTTTAAAGAAGTCTTTCTTGAGCAAAAGACGTAGCTCTGTGGTAACATGCATCACTTGTACAAGGTCCTGGGTTAAATTCCCAGTACCACAAATACAAGTAAATCTCTTCCTCCCCGTCTCCGGGCTTCCTCTCCAGGCTTCTTGCCAGGGGTCTGCACAGTGCCAGTGCTCTGTGTGGTGCTCTTGCAGGCTGTCTCCCTCTTGGAGTACCCTCCACTCAACTTGTTACATTCTTACTGGACAAGGGTCACTTCGGTCTTTCCTTCAGAAGGCCTTTATGACCACCTCTTTTGGGTTTCTCTTCCCCATTGTCCACTTAGGTGATTCGTTCTGACCTAGACTAAGAACACTCCTTGAGTATGAGAATCAGACCCAACTCATCTTAACAACCACCACTTGGCAGTGACAGACAGAAACTAGGCTCAGGCCAGCATCTATGTTAAGTAACATCTGTTAGGGACAAACCTTCAGGACAAACAGATCCTAGTTGGGGTCCTAGCTCCACCACTTGACAGCTTGGCCAAGTTCCTTTCTTATTGTGAACTGACTGGTCAATAAAATGAATGCAGAAATGAGGCTCTAACTACCTGAGCTGCCCAGAAAGTCATATAGCAGGGCAGAATAGGCCCCTTAATATCTGATACTCAGAGGTCTGGACACCAGGCTAGGTTAGGAGAGGAGTCACAGCAGGGCTTGATCTTTCTCTGCCAAAGTCTAATGTTCTCCTCTTCCTCCAAAGCACCTAGAAAATAGAGCCTACAGCAGGAACTGAATACGGATGTTTTATTTAGGAGGGACAAACTCAAGGCATTAGGGGTGAGAAATTGGAGTAAAAATATTGGAGGTAGCAAGATGATACCCTTCCGAGCAGGGTATAGCTATATGCCAGGCAAGAACCAGGCTCTGCAGCTGTGTCCACCAGCTACTTGGGAAATCTTCCTGCAAGCTATACTGCCAGTGAGGAACCATGCCTTATATAGCAATTCTTAAAAGGGAGAGAAGACGACAGAGTATCTCTGCCTGGCTTTCTCTTACCTCCAATTTCCCATTAGTCAAATTTTACCCCATGAGTACTAATCCTCTGGAACTTCCAAGTTTCTGTGGCCACATGGGATGCTGTATCCCACCCTGTGGTGGGCCATTCCACCCAGATCTAAAAGGAAGAGACAAACCCTGGATAGGCAGGTGGTGAGTCCCAGGAGAACTGCTGTGGTATATGACATATCCAATATAGTCCAGGATGGTTTTTCTTATTTTCCAGAGGACAAATTAAGGCATGGTGATGAAAGATACTTCCCAAGGTCATTTGATGAGTGACAGTGATAAGTTCAAGACCTAAACAGTCTCACACCAGAATCTGGAAAACCAAGGTTAAAAAATTGGGTTTTTAAGGCAGAAAGTAACTAAAGGGTTTCAAGCTGGGGAATGACATGAGATAGGGAGCTTTTTAATAAACTTGTGTCTGCTGCACCACCTTCCCATTTGGCTAACTGGCACAATCAAGTGACCCCAGGGAGGGAAAGCCATCCAATACAGTGCTTGAGAGTTCTGAGGACTCCCTAATGGTGTTCAAAGTTCATTTGAGACTCAGCCTTTACCTCTTAATCCATCTTCACCTAAGCCCCTACTTGCCAAAGAGATGAACTGATCAAGAGGCCAACAGAATCTGGGTAGAGAAGCCAAAAAGGAAGAGGAGACTGACCTAAAGACCAGGACCAGGAGGACCATCCATCTGTCCATTGTTGGCTGGCTGCCTTGGGGAATTTGGAAGTCGCTGATGAGTCTTTCGGTGTTGTTGGAGATGGTCAGATCTCATGAACTGTCGGCCACACTGATCACACCTGTGTGGCCGATATTTGGTGTGTGTTCGCATGTGACGTCGAAGCTCATCAGAACGGAAGAAACACCAGGTACAGTCTTCCCAGTTACACTTATAGGGCTTCTCACCTGGGGAGTGACAAGAGATGATATTAAGTGGAAGAATGTTCAAACAGTGAGATGAAGGGATTGAATGGTCAAAGCTGGGGACTCAAAAGGGAAGATGTAAGAAACCAGAGAAAAAATAAAAATACAAAAAGAAAACAAACAAATGCCCAGGCATGGCATATATGCCTGTAATTCCACTACGCAGGAGGCTAAGGCAAGATTGTTGCAAATTTGATATTGGCTTGAGTTACATGTGTCTTGGTTACTTTTCCTCTTGGTGTTGAGACAAAATAACTGACACCCACAATGAGGGAAGAAGCTTATTTAGCTTACAGTTTTTGGTAGTTTCAGTCCATACTTAGCTGGCTCCATGGCAGAGTGGCATAGCTAAGAGGAAGCTGTTCAAGGTGGCCACAAGCAACAAGAAAAAGGGCACAAAAGAATAAGCACACTTCTTTCCCCCACCTCCTTATATTGTATACCAGCTCTCACCCCTAGGTGGGTGCAGCACTCACACCACCAGTCCCAGCACTAGACAACAAACCAAACACAAAGGCTAGACTCAGCCACCTCCATGACTGCATGAGGCTTAGGAGGCCATCCAAACACAAACCAGAACACAGTGAGTTCAATGCCAGCCTGAACCACATAGGGAGGCAGTGTTTCAAAAAAAAAAAAAAAAAAAAAAAAAAAACAAATGAAAGTCAGAAAGGGTACAACACCATCAATTGTACCCTCCTCGCCATCCTAGCATTCATTCTGGATGGCCAGTTGGTGGAGTTAGCAGAGCTTGATTCCAAACATGAAAGCGAAAGGGCTAATCCCATTAGTTACCAATCAGTACACAAATCAAAAACCCAGAGATGACTCCACCCCTCCCCCAGATGACACATTACTGACCTGTGTGTTTGCGCTGGTGACTCACAAGGTGGGAGCGCTTTGTATAAGCTTTTCCACAGTCCTTATACGGGCAGCAGTAAGGTCTTAGAGTTGAGGGTTGCCTTCTGTGTGACCCTTCGCAGGCCCTGGAGTTCTCTGTTCTCTGAAAAGCAGCTGTGGGTTGTTCAGAAAGGTAGAGGTCTTTGTGGGAGCCTGATGGGTTCACAAGAGAATCCTGGGATTCTAAGCTGTGCGATGATTGGGAGCCAGCAGGAGGAATTGAAAGATTATAGGGATTTCCAGATGGCAACATCTGAGCCACAGATGGAGGCACAGCCTGGGCCTCAGTGGAAGGCATAGTAGGACCCAATAACATTTCAGATTGTAGAGAAACTCTGAAAGAAGGTGGGGGCCCACAGTAAGATACTATTGGAGCACTACTGGGGGACACCATTGAGAGTCCATTTGAAGCTGGCATTAGCCCACTATAGGGCATCCTCAAATGCTCACTGAAGGTCAAATCCCTGCCTTGAAAACTGGACTGTAAAGGCATCATCTGGAGTTCCCTGCCAATCATCCCTGGCTGGGAGGGATGCTGTCTCTGGTAGTACATCATCTGGTAGGTGAGTGTTATGGGGCAGCAGTTCACACTGCACTCATTCTGTGACACACTGCAACAGGTCTTCACTTCGCCTGCATCCTGCCTGGGTGTCTCAGGAGATGCCAAAAGGGTTCCCAACATCTCTCTGTCCTGATGGCAAAGCTCAGTGCCTGGTGGACCAGAGTTCCAAGAGGTGTACACTCCATTGCTTCTGAGAGGTGGCTGAATATCCAAGATGGACAATGGCTTCAAGTTATCCTAGGGGAGGGAAACAGTTAGGTGAAATTCACTGCAGCACAAATTCCAGTTATACACATCCCTCTTCCCAGCCCTAGACTCCATCCTGATCCAGGCTTCCATCACCTCTGGCCTGAATTATCCTGCCAACACGCAGGCTTTCTATGATGCAGAATGGGCTGACAGAAGCACAATGGAACCCTAATTCAAACTCATATCCCTCTCTTTCTGAGACAGGATCTTGCTACGCAATTCAGGGTGGCCTTGAACTCACTATATAGCTCAGGTTAGCCTCAAACTAATGGTGATCCTCCTGCCTCAGTCTCCTAAATTCTGGGATTACCAGAATGCACCACCATAACAGGCTCTTTTCTTTTTGGTATGTTTTTTATGATTAATTGATTGCATGTGCAGTACAGAGTTAAACCAAGCCTTTACACTAAGCTACACTCTTAGCCCCAAACTACCCCCTTTTAAATTTTGAGGCAGGACACATCCTCTTGCCTCAGCCTCCTGAGAGTGCTAGGATTATAAGCCTAGTAAGAGGAGAAAAGGATGTAAGTTAATGGGGAAATACAGATGATCAAATTGTTATATGCATATATGAAAATTACATAACAAAAACAATAAAAGCTAAAAAAGAAAACATTTTTGAAAACAAATGGAAGAATAGTTGTCTGAGGAGTCAGGGCAGTGTCCCTTGATGGATGACAGTTATGAAGGGTGAGAAAGAAAAGATTGGAAATGGAAGCTTTTAAAATAGGATAGAGTTTGCAAATTTCATTTTTACTAGCTGTGGTAACACACAGCTGTGATCCTAGTATTCAGGAGCCGAGGCAGGAGAATCACTGAGTGTTTTAGGCCAGTTTGGCTACATAGAGCGTTCAAGTTCAACCTAAACTGCAAAGGGAGATCTTGTCTCAGAAAAAAATCCCACTGTATTATACTATATTAAAGCAATAGAAATGAGAGCTCTATAAATGAGAGCTGGAAACATTACCCCAGCTTCCCATCTATTCTTCTTCCATTGGGATGGACAAGAAAAAAATCCATCCAAATATGAACACCCAAACATAAGGTAAAAGTACAACAGTATTCATAGACTCTAAAACATCCAAATAGAAATTAAAGACTGCAATTTCCCAAAAGACAGATCCATCAGAAAAAAATGGTGCTACACAAAGAAAAATGTAACATTCAAGCATAAATAAAGCACAACTTAACAACAAATATAAGTTTCACACCAATTAAAGGAACATCACAGAACAGAAAGAATTCAATGAAATTATGTCCAAATAATTGCAAGAGTTGTATCAGGGGACAGGGGGTAGCTGAGTAGTAGTGTTCTTATTTAGCATGCACAAGAGCCTGGATTCAATCTCCAGAACCATAAAAGCAAAGAGTTCTATTACAGGGTCAGGGGGACAGCGATAAAGAGCAACTATAGATGGACTTCTGTAGTACAGTATATGTTTCTTGGAATAATTTGTTAAACTGTACACTTACCTCTACTTTTTCTTTTTTTTTTTTTTTTTTTTTTGTCTTTTTTGTTTTTGTCGGTACCAGGGATCAAACTCACGACTGCCTGCTTGCAAGGCAGGCGCTTATGCCGCTGAGCTAAATCCCCAGCCCCTACCTCTACTTTTTCGATGAATGTTATTTTTCATAATCAAATAAGATAGCACTTTAAGAAATGAAATTTTTTCAGTGTAAGTGAAAAATTCTAATATAAAAATCAGAAGTAGGACTGAGAATATAACTCAGTAATACAGCCTCTGCCTAGCATGCTTGGGGCCCTGGACACACAAAAAAAAGAGGCAACAAATTTTAGGGCAAAAGAGCATGATTACTAAAATTTAAAAATTGGCTAAAAGGATACAAAAGCACACTTGAGTTGGCAGAAGAAATTAGCAAACTTTAATATAGGACTACTGAAGTTGAATCTAAGGAACACAAAAGAAAATATTTTTAAAAAGTGAACAGAGCCTAAGGGACCTGTGACTACATCCAGCTGATCACATACATTGTTTTTCTTTTTTAGGATAATTGAAAACTTACGAAACTTTGAAAGACATGAACAAAATCATTTAAGAAGCTCAATGAACTCTAAGATGAATACATTCAAGGATACTCACTCTGAGACACATTATAACAAAACTATTAAAAGAGAGACAGAGAAATAGAAGTGACTTCTCACAAGAAAGACAGCCTAAACAAGATCACCAGGATAAGAAGACGCAGTGATAGAGCACTTGTCTAGCATGGCCCAGGCCGTGGGCTCAACCCCTACTCCCTCCTCACACACACATTCAAAGATTACTGGCAGATTTCTCATCAGAAACCCTTTGGAAAGGAAGGTAGGGTGTGGCAAAGCTGGCTGGGAAAATAAACGAGACCTGTCAACTACAAGATCCCAAAAGAGCCAAAACAATCCTGAAAAAGAACAAAGCTAGGACTCATACTTCCTGATTTCAAAACTTATTACAAAGCCATAGTAATAGCATAGTCATATAAACATATAAATCAAAAGAATGGAAGAGACCCCAGACATAAGTCAATGCTTGTTCGGCCTAAAGAATATTTAACAAATGTACCAACATCATTAATTGGGAAAATGACAATCTTTTCATATGGTGTTAGGAAAACTAGACAGACAGAAGCAAAAGAATGAAATTGAAGCTTTATCTAATACCATATACAAAAAATTAACTCAAAACCAGTGTTCGCCTAAAATCCCAGACTTGGGAGGCTAAGTCCAGAACTGGGCTGCATAGCAAGATCCTGTCTCAAGCCGGACGTGGTGGCTCACACCTGTAATCCCAGCATTTGGGAGGCTGAGACAAGAAGATCATTGTGAGTTCAAGACCAGCCTGGGTTACAAAGCGAGCTCAAGGCTAGCCTGAACTGCATAGTGAGACCCTGTCTCAAAAACACCAAAAAAAAAAAAAGATCCTGTCTCAATAAACAAAAAACTGCCAGGTATTCCCAGCCTAGCCTGTAACTCCAGCACTGTGATCCCAGAACTCATGATGGATGTGAATTTGAGGCCAGCCTGGGCTATACAGTGAATTCAAGGCCAGCCTAAATGACATAGCGAGACTCTGTCTCCAAATAAAAAATAAAAATAATGAAAAGACAACTCATACAACAGGAGAAAACATTTGCAAATCACCTACTTGGTAAAGGATTAATATTTAGAGGGTTTTGTTTGTTGGTTGGTTGGTTGGTCTTTTTAAGACAGGGTCTCACTATGCAGTTCAGGTTGGCCTTTAGCTCATTTGGTAGCCCAGGCTGGTCTCAAACTTGCAAAGATCCTGTCTCAGCCTATCATGAAACAAACTAAACTCAAAAATAGGCAAAGGGGTTGAAGATACAATTTGGTGATACAGCACTTACTTACCCAGCATGTATGAGATCAACTCTAGAACCACCCCAAAAAATTCCAATTTTAATTTACAGGTAATACTAGAAACAGAAGATGAATTATACTTTGAAAGCTAGGTGTGGTGGCTCACACCTATAATCCCAGCACTCTAAAGCTGAGGCAGGAGTATCACAGGGAGCTTGAGGCCAGCTGAGCTACTTAATAAGTTCATGTCCGGCCTGAATTACATAATGAGACCCTTCCTTCAAATAAAATAAAATAAAACAATACTATGAAAACACAATCTAATATATCCAGAAAGAAAATTCTAGAAGAAAAAGGTTAAAATCATGAAAAACTGCACATCAGTCCTAAAAAAGAAACTAATTTGAAAAAGGTTCAAGGGATATAATAACCAGATAGAGCCAATATATTTTGAAAATTGGATCCTGGTTTGGGGGGACACATCAGCTATGAAGGACATTTTAAGGACAACTTGAAGAATTTGAGGATTAAATCTAAAATGATATAGTGAAGTTAATTTTGACAGATTTGATAATGTTTTGGCTATAGGGAAAAATGTTCTTTTTTAAAAAGACCTAGAAGACATCTTTTATTAACCATTAGTAACCAATGTAAGGCAAACACACAACAGCAACAGAGAAGACCTCTGGGCGTTACTTCTGGGGCGCTGAGCAGAGCTCTTTTCCTTCCTTCTCAGGACTGATCCTCTTTTTCAGTCTTTCACAAGCAAACTTTTGTAGAGCTGTGTGAACACTGTGCTGCCTCATCTTCTCATTCCTGCAAACTTACCCAGGCTCCCTCCTCCCCACAAAACCAGCTTCCCATAGGGAACCACTGCCTTCACAGCCCAAAGCCTATGAAACACTTCTCTAACTCTTTCCTGCCTGACCTTGCTTGAGGTTATTACCTCCATTCTTCTTAGCTTCCCCTAGGCCTCCTGAACACCCACTGACATACTTTCCTGGCTCTTCCTGTCTCTCCAGAGTTCCCTTCTTCCTTCCAGGCAATGTTTCCAATGCTAACGGATCCATTTTTACTTGAATTCCAATTACTCTTAAACCCATAGCTCCAGGGAAGATCCCCCTATTTCGGGGCAGCCACAAGTACTTCAAAAGGTCTATATCCAAAACTCATGATAATCCTTTCCCACCACCCACTCCTTGCAAAAGATCCTATTAACCCTGTTCCTTCTGATCCTTTGCTTTCTTAGAAAATGTCACCATTTTGGCTCAACTGTGCAAGTGAAAAATCTATTAAGTTATTCTGGGCACTTCTTTCACCAGGTAGATTCAACTACAAGGGTCTCTTGGTATCTGCAGGGGACTGGTTCCAGATCTCCTGTCTAGATGCTCCAGTCTCTTGTTTAAAACACTGCTGTGCTTGCTTCTAACCTGCATGTTCCCCTGTACACTTTAAGTCATCCCTAGATTATTTATAGGGCACAACAAAATGTGATTCTACATAGCTTGTGGTTCTACTTTCAAAATATCTCCAGATTCTGTTTCTCCTTTCCACTGTCACTTCACCATCCAATTATCACAACATCCACTTCAGCTGAGGTTCCACCCTTCAGGGCATTCTTCTTCTTCTTCTTTTCCCCCACCCCCGCCCCCAGGCATTCTTTTAAAACTACAAATCTCATTATGACAGATGGAGGCAGCCTACTGCTCTGGGAGGAAACAGCTCCATCCCTGAACATCCCTTTCCGGCCTCCTCTCCGGCAGACCCTGGGCTCTATCCCATCTTAGCCTTCCTCCAGTCTCAGGACCTGGAAATGTTCATACCATCAATTCTCCAGTCCAGAAGCAGTCCTCACCTGCACTCTGACCTCCAAAACTTGAACCAAACTGGTCTTACCAGTTGCTCCTGTAGCTCCATGCCCCGCACTTCCAATCCATCCACTAATTTATTAAAGCCCTGGGTTCCATCCTAGTGCCAACAAGTAAATAATCCTGTTCCATGGTTAACTCACCATTGTAGTAGCAGGGTCTGACAAAGGCATCCGAATAAGAAAAGTTTTTCCTTCCTGCTCTTAGCTGTTCCATAACAAGTCACTCTGAGAAGTTGCTTGGAACCCACCTAACCCCAACACCCAACACTGGCCCGACACCAACACAAGCACTACTTGAATAAACACTCGATTACCCAGTGTCCCTCATCTCTCCCCTCACCATCTCTCCCTCTGGTTATTATGCACCTCCTGACTCCGCTTTATCCCATCCACATCCCCCACTCCTTAGCCCCTCACTTGGTCAACAGGGCGGGTGGATTCTGGACTCACCAGGATTGGCTGGTTTGCAGGTTGCCATTGGTCTAGCTCATCACCCGCCTGCTCCATCTCAGCCAGGACACTAGCTGCACACGGGACGTCGTGACACTGCTCACTCCAGCCAAGGGGCTGCTGTGGTGGGAGCCGCAGGCTGTGTCACAGCACTAGGACGCCACAATCACCGTGAAGCTTCTACAAAACGCAGAGCCAGGGGCGGGGCCAAAGCAGATGGGGCGGGGCCAAAGCAGCCGGGGGCAGGGTCAAATCATCTCTATGCTGTCGCTCCCAGGCTGGCCTACCCAGCCTCCCATCAGAGCCCCACACATTGCCAGGATCAACCACAGGAGACCTCAGTAACCCTTTTTTAAAAAAGATATATTGTTCAAACTATCCTTAAATTCATTAAGTATCCCCGGCTGGCCTCCGTTATGTATCTCAGGGGTGCTAGGATTACGGACATGCACCACCACACCCATCTCAGTAACACTTCTTGACGATTAATACATGCATCCACTCTACCTACACCTTCTAAACTTGAATCTGAACAGCTGTGTTTGACATGTAATATTCTGGGGAAACCGAGGTCTGAGACTCCAGCCAGGCCTCCTTTGGAGGAGAAAGAACCCCAAGGCTGAGTGTAGGGCCTTGCAGACAGGAGGGACAACACATCTCCACCAGGCCAGGTTCTTGCCATGGTAGGAAGGCTGGAACTTTTCTCTTACCAGTGTACACCTCTGTCCCCTCTCAGTCCCAAACAGCTTGGGCATTCCACTATGCAGCTGAGCGCCATAATACTGAGTATCCACACCTGTGGGGCTGAGATTCACAACTAATATGGTAAAGAAGACAAACCAGAGCTGAGCGTTGATGGCTCACACCTGTAATCCCAGCACTCTGGCGGCTGAGGCAGGAGGATCCTTTCGAGTTCGGGACCAGCCTGGGCTACAAAGTGAGTCCAAGGCCAGCCTGAACTGCATAGTGAGACCCTGTCTCAAAAAGACAAAAAAAGATAAAAAAGAACACAAAACAAAGGCCTTGCCCTCAAGGCACTTCCATTTTAAAAGTCAGTAATTAATGTATCTTGGAAGGTGGTGATTGCAGTAAAGAAGGCAAAACAGGAAATGTGAGCTAACAACTAAATATCTGAAAAGAATCAGCTGTAGGAAGACAAAAAGAAAAGAGCTTGACTGTGCTAGAAGGAAAATGGGAAGGAAAGAAAAGCAAGGGGATCACAGTGCTGTGAACAGAGGAAAGGGTAGTATAACCCGAGGATAGAAGGGTGCATAGGACAGGCTCCCCCATGAAAGGCGTCAAATAAATGCAGATAAGTGAATAAACAAATGCCTTTTAAAATCTAAGAGGTTCCAAGACAGAAGCTGGCACAGCTTTGAGTTGATCCTCTCAGTCCATGGGAAGTGGCTGATCCCAGAAGAAGGGCCATTCAGGGCTGTGTGCAGACGTTGGATAGGTTGACATGAGGTTACCTGTGGGGATGTCCAGGAAGCAATTGGATAGGTTGGAAGCTTAAAAAGCAAAGCCTGGGCTGTAGTTGCAGATTTCAGATTTGGAGCTATTAGAATAAATAAGACAACCTAGGATTAGGATAAGGCACTAAAAGCATACCTCTAGGTGTCTAGCCTGGTGCTTGGCACATGGGAAATGATTATCAAATGAAGAAGTAGACAGAGCCAAGCATGGTGCTCACAATCATAGCTACTCCTAGGAGACTGAGACAGGAGGACCTTGAATTGAAAATCAAAGCAGGGCCCTGAGCATGTTAGGCAAGCACTCCACCACAGCCCAGCCCATTCCCAGCCCAAGCACCCCACTCCCAGCCCAAGTTCTTAGTTTGATGAGCACTGTTATGTATGATAATATCAACATCAGGAAAACTGAGTGAAGGCATGTGGTGACACTCCACCACCTTAGTAACCTGACCACTGCAGCTCCTCTGTGAATCTAAGTTTATTCCCAGATGAAAAGTTTATTTTAAAAAATGTAAAACTTGGGCTGGCTGGGGTTGTAGAAGAGAGGTACAGTATTTGCCTAGGCTGCATGAGGGGCCCTGGGTTCAATCCTCAGCAAAAGAAAAACAAATGGTTTTTGGTTTTATTTTGTTTTAAATGAAAAAGAATAAAATGATGAGGGAGAAGATTTAGCTCAACGGCATAAGTGCCTGCTGTACAAATGCGAGGTTGTGAGTTCAATCCCTGGTACCAAAAAAAAAAGAATAAAATGATGATACAAGATTTCAAAACAAAATAACAGGAGATAAGCACTGGTTAATATATTGAGTACTATTATCTTCAAAGTAGTTGTTTAGATTCTAAAATACAGGAACAAAAACATTTGTTACAATGGAAGCTCAAAGGCAAGCTGCAAAGGGATCCATGCAATATAATAGCATTCAGGAAAAGTTTTAAAACATTCAGAATTTGCTAAACATTGTTTATGGGCACAATTTTTATTATATTTTAAAAATAATAAAATCCAACAAAACAAAACAGAATAAAGCCAATCAAAACAAAGCAGTGAAAACAGGATAATAGGAAATCAACAATAGCCACTATCATGTATCTTGCTACCTTCACAATAGTCGTCTATACCATCAGACACAGCAAATCAAACAAAGCCAGAACGAAATAACACCAATCAAAACATAACATTGAATAAAACAAAACAATAAATCGAAACAAAACAAAACAGTGAAAACAATACTGCACATTGTTATCTTCAAAATAGTTGCTCAGGTTACCAGATGCAGGCATAAAACAAAACAGTGAAATGGAATAAAACATTGGATTTCAAAAACAAAACCGGAGGAAATCCCCCACAGCTGACACAATGTACACTGCCATCCTCCAGGTAGATGCCCTGCCCGCCAGCCCCAGGCCTGCAGAGTCAACCAAACAATACAAGCCTCAAGCTATTCCCTTCCCCTCAGTTGCTACCAGCATGGTTTTTCTTCTGGTTGAGGCGCTTACTGATTAGCATAGCAGAGCCTGCTTCACGGGAAGGTGTGGTTTCTCTTCTCCAGGTACTCACACACAAGAAGACACCAGTGCAACATGGGACCTGCAGTCACTGGGCTGGCCAAGTCCAAGGTGGTGGTCAGGGCTCAGGATGGGCAAGGTGACTGGGGACAGCTGGGTCTTCCCTCCCCACAAACATTATATTTAATAAAGAGTTTTTCATACCTAAATCATAATCAGAACAACTGTTTTGAAGATAACAACATTAATATATTAACTAGTGTTAACTTCCTATTATTTTGTTTTGAAATTCTCTATCATTTTTATCCTTTTGTTTTTGTTTTTCAAATAAAAAACAATCATTCATGGAATGGAATAATAATACCACACAGTAGGTGTATGCCACCACACCTAGCACTGTATTGGTTTTTATAAAATTTTGAAATGTTTGTACATTATAAATCACTCTCCATGTCCTACCTGCCAGTTCACTCTCTAAAACAGAATTTGGTGCTGGACATGGTGGCACATACCTATAATCCCAGCACTTGGGAAGCTGAGGCAAGAGGATCACTCTGAGTTCAAGGTTAGCCTGGACTACACAGTGAGCTACAGGCCAGCCCAAAATGCAAAGCAAGACTCTGTCTCAAGATAAAATCAAAAAGAAAAAAGAAAAGAAAAAAATATTACTATTACTTTGGTAAAAATTATAAAGATGATTAATATTATATGAGAAGAGTTCCTGGGTGTGCCTTGCCTGTAATCCCAGCACTCAGGAGGCGGAGACAGGAAGATCCTGTGGGTTCAAGGCCAACCTGAGCTGTAGTGAGCTTCTGTCTCAAAAAAAAAGAAAAAATATATATATGAGAAGCAGTAATGTACAAAGAAGTACATCTAGGAAAATGAGGGAGAAAACATGTTTGATTGTTTGTTTGGATTTTCATTGCTTCAAGGGGGTTGTTTGTTTGATGTGATTTGGTTTGGTTTTTTTGAGACAGGATCTGGTTCAGGCTGGTTCAGGCATAGTTCAGGTTTGTTCTGATCTCACTGTGTAGTCCAGCCTGGCTTCAAACTCACAGTGATTCTCCTGCCTCAGTCTCCCAAATGCTGGAATTACAAGCATGTGCCACCACACCCAGTGAAAAACATGTATATTTAGGGCACAATCATCAAATCAGTGTAACTTGGCTAATGAAGAAAACATGCTTGATTACATAAATTTAGATTCTTGGATAAAATCAAATCTGAGCTGGCAGTTTCTACAAGAAAATTTTTTGCCTTATTTATCCCACTTAGAGTATTAGGAATTTATCTTTGTTTTCTGAGAGTTTTAGCTAAATTGGACTTTTTTTTTTCAGTACTGGGGATCAAACTCATGACCACATGCTTTTAAGGCAGGCACTTATGCCACTGAGCTAAATCTCCAGTCCCTAAATTGGACTTATTTAAGCTCCTGTTAGTCTTCCTAAACCAATCAGAACAAAGCTTCTTTAAATCTTTATAATTTGGAACCGGGCTTGGTGGCTCACACCTGCAATCCCAGCGCTTGAGAGGCTGAAGTGGGAGGATCCTTGAGAGTTCAAGACCAGCCTGGGCCACAAAGTGAGCTCAAGGCCAGCCTGAACAGCATAGCGAGACCCTGTCTCAAAAAGACAAAAAAAAAAAAAAAAAAACCTTTATAATTTAATTTAGTGCTATCAGCAAGGTGGAAAATATTCAACTCAAACAATCAGACTTAAGATTATGTCCTGAGTAGGCCGCAGACACAGGGTTACAGTGTTATCACTGGTCGCAGACATGTCCACAAAACTCACTAGCTCAGATGGCAAAGGCCGTTCCAATCCCCAACAAGCACAGAATAGTTTAAATGATTTGATCTCACAAATAAATCAACAAAGGATCTAACAAACCAAATTCTGTCATTCATCCAACAGAAACTAGATCCCACCAACTACCCAGCAGAGATCTCCAATGGTCAAATCATAAAACCATTGTTCTCCTGGGATATAGCTCAGCAGCACAAGCACCTACCTGGCAAGCAGTCCTGAGTTTGATTTCTATACTAAAAACATTATATATATGGAAAAGACAGCAGTCCTGAGTTTGATTTCTATACTAAAAACATTATATATATGGAAAAGACAGCATAGTGGAAAAGATGGCTATAATCCCAGCACTCAAGAGACTGAGGCTGGAGGATCATTGCAATTTCAAGGTCATCCTGGGCTACAAAG